CTCATGCTTCTGCTCCTAGTATGAAACTGAGGAAAATTTGTCGAGACACAACAGAAAGATGGTCGTTCCTCCTTTTTCCCCAGCTCTCTGTGAACTTGTGATCATAGCCCACATTGAGGATGGTCTGACAATGGAGTTGTTGCAGGAGTTTTGACCTTTTTGTCTTGTTATTGTAACATTTTATAACATCAGTAACTAGTCTACTTCTAAAGTACAGGTTTCTATGATTCTGGTTCCTTTTAACTATTCCAGGAGCTTCTTTTCTCCAGGAACAGCAGACGAATCTGTGCTCGATTGATTTTGACAGCCTGTCAAGTCTAGCAACGGCAGATTGTGTCCAGTATCTGAACAATCCGCCTGAACGTGCTTTTTCGGCTGGTGAGGATCTGCTCTGAGATGCTTGGAGATGATTTAGCTAACAAAATAACAGGAGGTGGAGGTGGCAGAGTTGGCGATCAGGAGATTTTTGCTTGGAGACCAGAAGGGAGAGGATTAGGAGTGAGTACATCAGAGGGACAGCTCGGGCTGAGACACGTGGGACATGTGCAAATGGGGGACAGTGGATATGCTGAACAAAGGATGATGATTGAGAAGGAAAAGAGGAAGACCTCAGAGAAGATTCGTGGATGTAGCGGAGGAGCGCATGCAGAGGGTTGGGGTGGAGGGTGAGATGGAGGCAGAGAAGGAGCAGCTGAAAGAAACAGAAGCACCAGCAGCAGTACCTGTATGCCGGGTGGTATGCTATAGATTATCTGGATGGTGCCGCAGTCTGGGTGGCCTGGCAGCGACTGTGCGATGCTGTATATTTCCATCTTGCCTTTCGGCTGGGTGCCCGTCTTCTCGCCGTAGATTGTCTTACACGAGGGGCACTGCAAGCTGCCATCCTGAGGAGGAGGAGGCGAAGACACCAGAGAGCCACGTCAACCAAACCATCAGTAGAAACAAGCAGAAACATTTAACAACTTCCTCATGAGTGGATCATGATGCAAGAGCAAGTTTGAAGGAGCAATCAATGAGCAGTAAATGAGTCGGCTGGTCAATCGAGAGAAAATTAATCGCCAATTATTCTGTTTGTGGTGGAAAAAAAATCTTATTTCAAAATGTGTTGACTCACCTCACCGATAAACTGTTTTTAGATTTAGAGCTGCTGGTCATGTTTGATCATCATGAATGTGGGCAGTTGTTTAAAAGTACAAAGATTGAACTTATAGACTTTGTTTCAGGGTATTATTCTCTGAAGTAGAAATTCAACCTAAATGCTATTCCACGTATCTGCATTTGAAATGACCTGAAGCAAACATGGCCGAGGCGCTAGTGCTGTAGCCAGGACCGGCTTCCTGGCCATCAGACTTACAGACTCTTACAGTCGGCATCTTTCCATCTTCGGCCTTAGCAGAATCAACACCAGTTGGGAAATTGTTTTGTTGGTGATGTTACAAATGTTGGTGATGCTGCTCTACTCCCCCAAACCGCTGTCACTACATGTTTGTGGCCACATGATGACAGATGTAGCTACCAACACGCCTGGTGATAGAGAGAAATTAGTACGCCCATAAACTAGTGCCAAATCCATTAGAGGTTTTCACACTGAGTCGAGATAAAGCTGAGGCGAACAAATAAGGTAATCTATTGGTGTGGGTTTTTTTTTTACTTCCTCTGGCTTCCTGTGGGGTGGGGAGTTTAATTTATGCAACTTCTGACTGTACTGCTGTCTCTCTTGGGCAGGACACTCTTTTAAAGATGTTTTTAATCTCAGGTTTTTTTACTGGTTAAATAAAGATTAAATAAAAGTCCTCACACGGTTGTGGTGGCTTTCGTCCTTCAGATCTGAGGCTACACTGCTGATAAAAGTCTCTTACCTTCGTTCCATTGTTGTACATGGCCAGCATGCAGAGCATATGCAGGGTGTGCCCACATTTGATGAATTTTCCCACAGTGTCTGGCTGGATGCTCTGGCCTCCCTCCTCTGTGGATGGGGTCTCGTAGCCAGATGGGTTGGACAGTTGGTCCATGCAGATAATACAGTCCTGAAGGTACATGAGATATCTATGCTCAGAGCAAAATTACACAACACAAACTCACTTCACAGAAACTTATTTACCATTCGGCTCAACAATCACTATCGAACAAGACAGCTGAGATAAAACAATTTTTGTGCTGCATTCAGTTTTGAATTGTGGCTCTCTAAAAAGTCCAAACTCAGTGTTTAGTTAAGCTTGAGCTGAGACAGCAGAAAGTCTTTTGGTCTAGGAGGACACGCAGAAACAGCTACAGGTGTCACAACACAGGATACGGTGGAGCTACAGGTGTCAGAATTAAAAATGCTAAATTTTCATTCAGCTCAGGTTGAGCTTTGGGAAAAAAGTTAGAGAGACATGACTGAGATGGTTTGGACATGTGCACAGAGGAGGGATGGTGGGTATACTGGGCAAAGGATGGGAAGAAAAGAGGACGACCACAGATTTTTGGAGTGACAGAGGAGGATGCTGTGGTGTGATGATCCGCTGTAGCAGCCGCTAAAGGGAGGAGCGCTAAGGAGAAAACAAAGTCTGGGTCTAGTCTAATTCCTAAAGTCTAATTCCCAACCAGATTATCTCTTATACTCTTCAAGTTAAAGACAATTTGCGTGGACATGTTATCAGACGTGGGGCTTGAACCAACGTAGAAATGGTAAAGTGTTATTTACTCGAATTACATTTAAAGATGATGGAAATCCAGTAACAAAAAGAGTGACGTTGAGTGTTTAATGGCTAATTGTGTAAAATATTTTTGACCTCAATACTGAGCAAAAGAATCATTAATCCAATTCATGCAAAAATTGTTCATCAAAACAATAAATGAACTTTTCTTTCATTTCTAACAGATCTGGGAGTAGACGGGGGAAAAACGGAAACATTTACCTCGTCTTGTACTCCAACCACCACCTCCATGTAGCGCTGAATCACGTCCTCGGGTCTCTGAGTTGATGCTGAAAGAGGAACAAAAGGAGAAAATGCAAAGTCAATGAGCGATTGAGTCAAAACAGGCCAGTCCACAAGCATACAAGAAGCAGCAAGAAGAGATTCTGATGAGATGAAATGAAATGGTTTGTGTCACAATCTCAAAATACAATTTCAGTCAAACATTTCCCATCTTTAACTCCAGCTACCATTAAATTGTGTCCAATTTTGACCAACATCCTCCAATCAAGAACCAGCCAATGTAAATATGTGATGCAGAGGGAAGACGTGAATGCATAGCAGAACAACGAGCATTAAATGTTGATTGGCAACATGAGACATTGAAACAGACACTGTCTGCATTTTGCTAACATATTCTCTCAAATGCACAAGCGTGAGTGTCAAGTCTGTTTAGGAAAGAAAACTCTGCGAGCTAACTAAACGCTCATCCTCGTCGTTTTACGTTTATTGCGTAAGACAGCTCCATTTAAATACAGATTTTTAAAGATCGACTAATTCTTCCCAGCTGAGAAACGCAAAAAACAACAACTTCACTGACCCGTTTCCAGACTCGCTGTGCTTCTAATCGCTGACACGTGACCTGTTTATTTTAACAAGCGGCTGTGACAACATAGAGAAACAAAGAACGGCAGCAATAATGTGAAAGTGACAAGTAACATATTAGCCGAGTGACACCAAACTACAGAAAATGAGCAAAGCCCATTTAACACGCACAAAACAGAGAGAAAACCTCAACCTCCAGCAGCTTTTTCTTTCAAATGTCGTTTTGCATGAGAAGCTGGAACAGTACCAACATTTTGTCCTGATGTCAACAACCCTAAACGACGACCTGCTGCTGTAATAAATATGTTACAAATGAAAGCAAACGCCACCATAAGCCGAGAGAGTCGATCCACTCTGAGCTGCTTGGCAAGATATTCCCCTTATCTGCACTTACTGCCCCCCACAGACTATTTACTCAGGTTTTTCTTCCTGTAGTTTATCACCCATATCTATACACTTGTATTTAGAATTGAAACATTCTGCCAGAGAGCATCTTTTTGCCGCATTTAGCCAACTTAAGGCAGACTTAAGAAGGAAGTTAAAGCTAATGAGGTGCAGGAGTTGAAGAGCCTGAATGACACTGGAGGGGGAAACAGCAGAAAAGCCTGTGATAGTTGAATCAAAGCCAACACAGATAGTCAGTACGCTTGCGTGAAAGTGAGTCAATGCAGGATTTAATGTTCCTCAAGCGTGTGGTGCTTGAGGATGAAAAGCAGATCACAGGATGACGATGATGTTGATGAGAGGAAAAAAAAAAGGTAGATTCGAGGACTGATGGTGTGGTAGCTACCTCTCCTGTGCTGCCTCTTTGCTCTCCTAACTGAACTGCTGGTGCTGGTGCTGCTGCTGCTGTGGGGCTTGATGGGCCTGTTGGCTGGGGGAAGGAGAGGAGGAGGAGGAGGAAGAGAGAAAGGAGCAGGCTGCTGATGCTGTGGCGGCGGATGCTGCTGCTGCTGAGGGAGAGGGGCAGAGGTGAAGTGCACGCCGAGTCCCACTGCTGACATCAAAATGGAGGCCATGCCTGGAAGTGGAGGGGGGTAGGGTGGGGGTTGGTTTAGGTTGAGGCGGGATGGGACAAGGCAGAGTGGGGCAGGTGAGCAAGGCAGGAGGCAAGTGGAGATATGCAGGAGGCAGAAGGGAACAAATCAAGAGGTAGCAGCAGCTGACGCGCCCACATCGAGCCTTGTCCATACACACTTACAAAAAACAATAACACTCAGACGGCAGAGATTTTCAAATTAAACCCATACTTGTTCATGTTCAACAAATTAATCTGGTTTACTGTGGCTGTCCCTCGTCTTAAATCCACTGTGCTGATTGTGAACACGGCTGATGTTGCTGCAGTGGTGACATAAATCTCATCAGCTAAGGGCAAAACACAGGGCGTCCTGGTGCTAGCAAAAGATTCACTGGGAATCGACTGTGCCCAGAAGCTCCAAGTCTGACCAGTCGGGCCACAGGGAATGATTTACAAGAGCGCAATAACCCTCTGCAATGTGGAGTAAAAGTTTCAATTTTACGATTAAGTGCGGTGCCGTTTAAAGACAGGCAAAAATAGAACTTCCATTCTCTTACAAATGAAGAAGTTAAACTCAGAAGAAACAAAAGTAAAACACTTGGTTGAGTGCGGTCAACGGTTTTGGCAGGTACAGCCTGACTTGGGCTAACTATTAGCAAAACATGGGCCTCCAGTTGTGCTACAAAACTGCTGCTGCTCAGGAGTTTTCTGGTCACAGAGTCTCTTTATTCTGATACTGATTAACAAGAATATTTAACACAGTTAAACTAAGACCTGAAGATGTTGGTTGCTGAGGACACGATGAAGGCTACTGCACGCTCATGCATTAGCACACCCTGCTTTAGCCACTTTACTCTAACCAAACACGAAAAATCAACATCATGACCCAACTAGACTTCAAACTAGTGACTGAGATTACAAACTCATCACAAAAGTGTTTAGTAAGGTCACAGATCCAGTGAGTGGTGGGTTAGTTTTACCACAGACATCTATAGACTACAATTGTTTTTCCAAACAGAAGAGTCACCCCCTCCTGTTCACTAGAACGAACAAATGTTAACTTAACTTTTCAGAACTGTAGGCATCTTTTAAATGCAGCCTACAGCTCTGCTCAAAATTCCATATTTTATAAATGTATTTACATTTTTTAAAAAAAAAATTGGCCAGTTTTTCCTTCAAGGTTGTCTCCTTGGGCACCTCTGAATCCAGCCCACTGGAAGTCCTGTTCTTACCACTTTTAATGGGCGTATATGCAATTTCACCACGCAAGTCAAACTTATCTCTGCTCAGTAGCATCCTTGGTGATCAGAGCTGCATCTCCAAAGATTGACTGTCAATGCAGATAGAGGCTGGCATGATTTTTGAAGAATATGGATTGTCACCAAGTCATTAAAGACAAAAAAAAATCAAATAGTTTATGGATGGTAGGATGACTGCCGTGAAATAACAAAAATGGAAGACGGCACCAAGCATCAGACTGATAAAACATGAGGTAATGAGATTGGATGCCACTGAAGATGATTACAGCTGCCAACAAGTCTTAAACATTACTCCACTACATAATTAAAAGAAAAGAAACTTGCCACTGGTAAAGCTAGCATGTCACAACTCATAATTAAGCGTTCATCTTTGAAGAACAGTTCACTGGTTCCCAGTGAAAATCCAGTAGTATTGTTTTGTATTCTGGCTGTACTTTAATATCCTGAGAAATCTGAAGGACAAAATTAACTGCAAACTATCCAAACTGTAGCCCCTACATGCTAACACCTGATCCACAGAAAACAGGATCTTTCACTCCCACAAAAAAAAAAAAGAAAAAAAAAAAAAAAGGTTATTTGAGATCCAAAGGTTCAAAAATCAGGTGTGCTGGAAGAGGTGCAGCGCTGCTCCAGGAGA